TGTAACCTTTCCCTGCTTTTTTTTTCTTTTCTCCTTAAATAAAATTAAAAAAAAAAAAAAAAAAGACACCCATACAGATTCTATAGTCAAGTATTTTTAAACATTTAAAATAATTACTACAATCTGTTTAAATGTTTTACTTACAGCAAGCCTACCACAGATATATAAAGTAGTGTTAAAAGATGACCAGGAGAGCAACATGTTGTCTTAATAGTTCTGAGTTTTATCTTCAGAATTGAACACCTGGCCAGAATTGTCTTTACTTCCCAGCAGTGTAAACATTGGCAAGTTCTTCATCCTCACTTAGTTTTCTTCTAGTAGAATGAAGAATAATGGCTCTTTCTCATAGAATGATTATGAAGATTGAAGTACATTACGTATGTAAAAACACTTAGAGTGACAGTACAGAATAATGTTTTTTATTTGTATTTTTGACGGTGGTGGTACTGGAGATAGAATCCAGGTCTTTCATACTGAGATACCCCCTCACCCCCCACAACCATACCTTTTATTTGTTTTTGTTTTTTGAATTGGGGTATTGCTGAGTGTTCAGGCTGCTCTTGAATTCAGTGTATCACCCAGGCTGGCCTCCTGCTGAGATTACAGGCTTGTGCTACCAAGTTGACACTTTTTTCTTTTTCTTTTTTTTTTTCATTTTTAGATAAGATCCCACTAAATTGCTGCTGAGACTGGGCTGTGATCCTTTGGCTCCTGCCTCCCAGAGTGCTGGGATCATATTGTGGGCCACCAAATCCAGATCGTTGACAGTTGGATGCTGAATCTTACCTTTAAGAGTACTACCTTGCCATAGGAGTCTCCATTTGTTACTCTGTAGTAATGGTGCTATTTTGTGAGTGCTTGTTTACACGCCCCTAAGATTCTGGAGGGTAAAGTATAGCTTTGTTCATGTTAAGTCACAGACACCACCCAGGAAGGGATTTAGGTAACTCAGTAAATACTGAATTATTGAATCATCTCATTTACATTGCTGTTGCAAAAAAAATTAGACATTCAGCATTGTGGCTACCACAGTAGGAATGGGGAAAGGTTAAAGAACTGGAGAGGAAAGTTAATATAGTGTGGCAGAAAGACCAGGGAGACAACATTTTGGCTTTCATTGTCATTATTGATCTACCCGTCTTTACTCAAGCAAGGACCACAGTTTCCTTATTTATCAATTAAGCAAGGTGACCCAGGTCAGTGAGTTTGTGCTTTTCCTGGAATTCTAGGCCCTCAGAAGTACCTTTGGAGATGGAAGTATGAGGGTATAAATGAGTCACAGGTTGTGCACTGTGTGCCACACTGTATCGTCTTAGCAGTGAGTGATAGTCTCCTGTCAGACAGAGACAAGAGTCTTGGGCTTACTGTTTCCAAGAGCCAAGCTACCTGGGATCTCATTGTTGCTGTCTAGGCCTTTGGGTCATTGATTGTAATATCACACATATTCTGTGGTCATTTATCCTGTAAATTATGCCAAATTTGCTAAGTCACCAAATTTGACATTTTTTAAAAAATCTCTTGGTTATATAGTTATTTGCATTCCTTGTAAATTCAAGCTTTGAACTAGTTGCATGATAATTTGAGCACATACTTATACATAAGGTAGCAGTACCTGTTTTCTTATATCTTTCCTGTATATCAAAATTTGGTCATTTTTTAGCAATATTAGATTTTAATGTGATAAAACAAATTTTGACGTTTCCAATGATTTTTAACATTGTCACTAGGGCTTCTCTAATCCTTTTTTTTCTTATAGTGTTAGTCTGTTTGGCTTTATTTGATACTCAGTATTAAACTTCTTAGAGCCAGGAGTGATGGCGTACACCTGTAATATCAGCCATGGGGAGGCTGATTAAATAAAGGATTGCCATAAATTTAAGACCAGGCCCTGCTACATAGTGAGTTTAGGGCCAGTCTGAACTACATAGTGAGACTGTGTTTAAAAAATACACACACAAAATAAAACTAGTTTCTTTATTCCATTATTGAAAACCAAATGGAGTAGAATGAATAAAATCTTTGAGGGTTTTTTTTTTTTTTTTAAATGATCCTGGGGATTGAAGTAGACATTTCACAGGGACCTAATATCTCCAGTGCTTTTTCATAATTTTTAAAATTGAGTTCTCATCTTAGTACTTACATACTTTTTTTTTTTAAAGGGGAATATTATAAAGAAATTTAAAAAACTAACACTGTAGTCAAGACTGCAGATAAACTTCTGGATCAAAATTAAACTGACTTGGCCAGGGATTTAGCTTAGTTACACAGTGCCTGCCTGGAAAGTACAAGGTCCTGAGTTCAATTCCTGGTACAATAAATAAATAAATAAATAAATAAATAAATAAATAAAGAGATTGGTTTGTCTCTTCATTTAGCATGTTTTTAAAAATATTTGTTTTCTCTTCATTTAGTATAAATAAACATGCCTTATTTTGGGCTCTGGAGATGCACGGCTAAAGGGCACTGGAAGAATTCATCTCTGCTCTTTACTGGGAGAAGGGTTAGTGCTCGGTGTCCACAAAGTATTTCTAGTGCAATATGATTCCTGGATAACTCTCTCATGATGTGAAGACTTAGCTTTGAAACATTCTAATTTACTGTAACCCTCCTGGTTATTATAATGTCTAAATCAACAATTGTTTTGATTTTCCACAAAGGTTTTAAATTATACATAGCCCACTCCCAATATAAATATAAAGCATGAGAACACCTTGTTACCTGCCAGCAAGGCTCTCCCTCTCCTCGGCCTCCAATGCACTGCCTATCTCCTGAAAGGGCTTGCCCTTGGCTAACCTTGCGGGAAGGGACAAAACCAGGACTCTGTTCCAAACTCAGGGCCTAGCCACACAGCCTCCTGTGTCTCAGCCTCAGTTTCCCACTTGTGGAAGCACTGGGGCTGAGGTTGGGGATCGAGATGTTGCTTATTGTGCCCTTTGGCACAGCTGAGAAGGTGGCACGCCCTCTTTCTGTCCCCTGAGGATCAGGGTGGCTTGTGCTGGGCCTGCTCCAGGTGGGGGATGCGGGGATGACACGGGCTGCTCTGTAGCTGCGTGGCTACATGGGCTGTGGCTCCAGTGGGAACCAGGAAAGGCTTGCTCTTCTGATCTGGTTTTGAAACTGGAGACCGGAGGTGACCTGAGGGCTGTGGCCAAGTGGACCTACTGCCACTCACATGCCAGCCACCCAGATCCCCAGCTGCTGTCCCTGCCCAGGTGTGGACAATGGTGAGGACATTCCCCAGGAGACACTGATTGGGATCTATGAGCGAATCCAGCAGCAGGAGCGGAAGACAAATGAGGACCACATGTCTCAGCTGCCCCCAGAAGGTGAAGAAGCTGATCGTGGGGAAGAAGCCCATACATGCTTGGCCCTCAGGCATGGGGCCGCCTGCCCATCATTCTGGCCTCTGGCAGGCAGAGCTGGCGGGGGGGACTCCCAGGCATTCAAAGCAGTGCCTGCAGGCTTGAGGAATCCTGGCTGTTTGCTCGGGTTGCACTTGAGGCCCTCAGGTCCTTAGTGATGGCCCAACTCTGCTAACTCTAGGCTCTTTCCTTAGTGATCTGAGCCCCCTGTCCCTGACAGGGCACTACAGTGAGCTTTACACCTTGGCCACTCCCTGGTATCCAGGCTGGTGGAGCTGAGGACCTGGCGCCCTGGCTGGGCATTGCTGTGCCCATCCCCAATGTCCCAAGGTGATTGTGGACATTAACATCGGTCCCTGTGCTGTTTTCCCATAGATCAGATCACTGTATCACCAGCTTGGCTTGTGAGTACCTCTCTGCTTCTCCTTCTGGCCACTGACCACCCACCCTGGGGAGCCTCCATGTGTCCTGACGTGTCCCTAGCCAGTTCCCCGTGCTCTGGGAGCCAGACTTCTGGCTGCTGAGTTCATGAGTGACCAGCATTTTCTGCTTCGTGGTTCCCTGGACTGACCTCTGGCATCCCTGAGACCACAGCCACAAGGGTCAGGCTTGTGGCGGAGACACAACTTTCAGCCCTTGGGGTGGCCTCTGTGGGCGTCCACACCATCGCAACAGCCTGCTCTTGGCCTTGAGACCCAGGGTCTATTTCTCCTAGCTCTGTCTCCATCATGCTACTTGTGACTGCTGCCTGCTCTGTGACCCCAGAGTGACCCCCACTAGCCTGGCAGATTGAGGCATGTCCCCATCTCTGTCCCCATCCGTGGTGCCCCAGCAAAACATCCAGATCCCCTCCAGTCCTCTTCCGTCCTACTTCTGCCTTCACACTTCCATTCTCAGGCACCAGGGTACACCAGTCCCCTTTGCCCTGTCTCCTAACAGTAGGTCTGTGTCCTTTGAGAGCCAAGGTGCTCCCCAAGGCAGGCCCAGGCCTTCCTGATGGGTCCCCTAGTGCAGGGGCCCCATCTGGCAGGTTGGCTGCAGGTTTCAGGGCAGCACCACTGCAGTGACAGTAGGGTGCCTGAGCCTGGTGAGCTTCTCAGAAGGGGCCTGCTGCTCTCAGCCCCCAGCCAATTGCTGTGGCTCCTAGGGACAGTGTGTTCTGATTGGCTCACATGAGCCCTGCCCCCTGGACCAGAGGAGGACCAGAGATTTCTCTCCTGCAAACAAAACTGAGGGCTGTGAGGGTCTCAGGTGCAGGCATGGCAACTGTTCCCCAGCCTAGGGAAGGCTCATGCTGGGCCTGTGCGTGATCTGGCTTCTCTCCAGGGTTAGTTCTTTAAAGAGCAAGGGCCCTTACAGCCCGTCCAGGAGGACTGGCACTTCCTGCTTGACAGGGCCCTAAGGGGGCCATGCACAGCCATGGCAGCATCTCTTTGCTGTACCATGGGGCTGAGGTGCCAGCTGGGATGACACTGAGACTCAGATGGATAGGAAGCACTGTCCCCAGCGTAGTGTCTGCCCAGATCAGCTGAGCCCAGACTGCTGGCCTCTGGGCCTGATCAAGGTTCCCAACCCACTATGTCCAGTGTGAGTTCATGTCCTCTAAAATCAAAGAATGCATTTTAGGAACAACAGAGGTTAAGAGTAGAATATATTTATTGAGAGAAAGCAAGCTTCTGTCTGAGAGAGAGACAAAAGGGGTCCCAAGCGGGTTGCCAGGGACTCTATTTTTTCTAAAGACTCTTCGAGTAAAATCACGGCATTAAAAAGAGTTTAACATGGGGAAACTGGGTACTCACAAGGCAGATGGGCATAAGGTGGTACAAAACTATGACTGACCAATAAGATGAATAGTTCAGGTAAAATTGATTAAACTGGGGACAAAAGGGGAAGGGAATCACTTAGAATGCAGGAATTCTTAAGAGAGCAGTGAATCTTCCCCAAAGGTTTGGAATGTCACTCCTTACTCCCTCAGGGTGCTAGGGAACTCTTTAGAACTTCACTCCTTAGGATATGGATGTATTTGTATGGTCTTTTATCTTGAGGCTTGGCCCACAGCAGCAGGTGCTTGTCTTCCCCTTAGTTGCAAGGTATCTGAGCTTCTGCACTGGCTCCTTTGAGGACCTAGCCCTGTCTCACTTCCTGTAGTATTTCTAACTAACTCAGCTGCTTATAACAGTCCCCTCTCTGAAGAAGTAACCAGAACTGCCATGAGGGTGTCATGGGTGATGACCGATCTGGCTTCTTCAGGCTGAAGAGGGTTGTAGTGGTGACCAGCAGTCAGAGATACTTCTGCAGAGATCCTGTCTAGAGGCCCCCAATAGATGCCAGGCATTTTCATCTTGGGTAGACATATAGCTCTAAGTCTGGAGGAGACAAAGACAAAGAAACAGTTGAGTATGTATGGGCCAAAGAATAAAACCAGTAGAACAATTATGAGTATAGGTAACAAAGATTTCCACCAATAGGAACTAGTAATAGATTTCCATAAGAAGGAGAAAGACAAGGTCCAGGAGTCTTAAGAATCTTACATATTGTTAATTTGGTATCTAATGTCTTGAATAGCTACTGAGATATTAGCAGAAGAGTCAGGAGTATATATACACAGCATTCAGTTTTTACAATGGCACGAATGCCTCTGTGTGCTGCTGTTAGAATGTCTAATGTCATCTGAGTTTGAAGGACAGCCTGTCTCATTATTTTTTTTTTCCTTATTTAAGAGGGACCAGCAGCAGTGTCATTTAAGGCCCACTCGGTATAGTTAGTCAAGGCCTCAGTACATTGCATGATGTCTTCTAATCCTAGGGAAGGGATAAACACAGAGGCCAAATGATCATACCAGTGGAACACACTTCTGTACCTTCGATGTTGTACGTGGGTAAATTTGCCGGTTTTTCGACATTTTTGATACTCCTGCCTTGTAACCATGCAAATCCTAGTGTGCATCTGCCTATCCATCCAGAGCCCAGGCAGGGCCACAGATAGGCTCCACAAGACCAATGAGTGCCATTCGGGGCTCCCCATTTGATTCCAGGGCCATTAAACCAGTCTGTTGCAAACCAGTCATTAGCCTGAAAAGTTACTTGTGTGTCCACATTGTTCAAGGGCTGTCCACCCCAGGTGGGTAGTGGCATTAGGCCAACCAGAATAAAAGTGGTGTTTTTGTTCCCAACATAAGGGGGATTTTCTACTGAGATATCCTATGGTGGGAGTTAATCATAGATACTCATCCCATATTTGAAAATAGCCATATTGATATCTATGGTTGTTGGCCCTTAGGATAGGACCTTTCTTTTTATCTACCAGGGGCCTTACAGGCCTGTAGAGAGGCTCCAGTGGCATTATAAGAAAAAAATCTGATTATGTCCAGGATCATTAGCAATGTAATTTACAGGATCATTAAGAATATAATATTCAGAGGCCATTTTATTACTATGCAATTGTGGGCTGAACTATGAATACTGAACTTCTTTGTTATCTCATTACTATAGTCCTGTAATTTATTCCAATCACATCCTTGAAGTGGAGACACCCACCGAGGAAGTCCTGATGTACTGGACAAGGGCAGTGAGCCACATATCCTGCAAGAGGTGTGTTGTAATGATTTTGCATATGCTTGTGCCCACATTAAAAAGGAGTTGCATCCTCCTTTCAGTGGTGAAGGGAACAGTAAAAGGGCTAATAGTAGCCTTACTTACCTGAAGTCTTTGTTTTCTCCTTGAAGAGGAATCTTAGGTCTTCTGTGGGTTCACAGGAGTATGTGGGTGGTTGTTCACATCCAGTGATAGTCTCAAGTTTCCAGGGTTTGTGTCAGGTGTGATGCATCCGAGTGTCCAGGCCTATTGTCTTCAGCATGGAAGAAGTCGACAGGATCACAGTGTAAGGTCCTTCCAAATGGCTGATGAGGGAGGGGATTTTACCAGTACTAAATCTCCAGGGTGGAAGATAGGTTTTCCTTTCTCTGTAGGCTGAGCTTCTGTAAGCTCTTGAAGAGTTTGTTGGAGTTTATCCAATGAGGTGATGTCTTTTTATAAGGCATCTGTTTCTCTGACAAAGAGAAAATCATCAGTGAGGAAAGGGCATCCATAAGGCATTTCAGGCGGACTGAGGCCTAGGTTTTGAGGTGTATTTGTTATTTTGATAAGAGGTAAAGGTAGGATGAATCTGAACCCTGGTGGGGCCTTGGGCTGAGAGGGCAGTCTGACATCCAGTGGTCACGTCTGCAGTCAGGGCATGGCCCAGGGGGCTTTTGAGTGCAGTCCCTCTTAAGGTCACCTGGCTTGTGGCAGTGATGGCAGGTGAATGTCATTGTTGAGCTCTTCTTGGAGACCTGAGAATCAGACTTAGGGTCTGTTTCTCTTAATGCTGTGCAAAAGCAGCTGCTTTTTCTCAGTCTCTTTGTTTTCTCTCTTTGACCTCCCTCTCACAGTTATAAAATACTGAGGAGGCAACTTTTACTAAAGTATCAAGTGAGCTGGGGATTTAGCTCAGTGGCAAAATCACTTGCCTGGCCAATGTGTGGTTGTGTTTGATCCACAAACTCCAACACACACAAAATCAATGAATAAATAAAGTATCAAGTGGAGTATCTGGAGGAAAAGCCATCTTTTGTAGCTTTTTTCTAATAGCTGAGGCTGACTGTGTAATAAACTTATCTTTAAGGATAATTTGTCCCTCTATTGAATCAGAATCTAAAGAAGTATGCTTTATCAATGCCTCTCATAATCCATCTAAGGAGGCAGAAAATTGTTCCTTCTTTTCTTGTTGAATAACTGATAACTTAAAATAATTGAATGGTTTAGTTCTCACTCTTCTTCAGCCTTCAAGAACACATGTCTGGAAATATTTTCTAATCCAATCACCCACCTGGTTGTGGGCCAAGTAAGAGTCTTGCATAGGGACTGTTTGTGATCCAGTGGGAACACAGCTTTTGCAAACTCCAACTGCACTGTGTCGCTGGGCCAAGACAAAATAAATCAGTGCTGCTTTTTTAAAATAAAAACACGTCTTGTCCATTTTTGAACTCGAGTTTGGGCTTTGGGGGCTCGTTTGTGGATTACAAGATTTAATGGCATATTTTTATTATTTTATTCTTGCACAAGTTAAATTTAAACTAGTTGCTAAAGTTATTTCCCTTTATCTTCTGGCCTTCTAAAATTGACAATATGGTATTCATATCCAAAGGCAATAGCAGCCTATAATGCTGCGTGTCTCTCACGAGAAGTGAATGTCTGATTTAAGAGTAACACTACATCTTTCCAATCTACTTCATATGCCTGAGTAAGTCCTCTAAGGACCTGAATGTACTTGTCAGGCTCATCTGAAAATTTGCCAAGATCTAATTTTATTTGTCTTGGGTCACCAAGAGAGAAAGGTACATGAACTCTGGAAGTTCCAGATCATCCATGTACTCCCTGCAAAGGATACTGCCCTTGAGGAGCTTGCTTAAACTCAGCTAAGGATGGGTATAGTCCTGGAGAGGCCTGGATTACAGCTGGCCTAGAAGCTTTATCCTTAAGGCTGGAAGGGCAGGTGGGGGAAACCTTAGGTTCAGTAAAAAAAGGGGGGGGGTTTGATTAAGGCTATTTTGTCCTCAGGTTCTAAAGGTTCAGGAGGTGCAATTTTCTGCTCTTGGGGAGAAGATGCCTTAAGGGCCCGAGGTGCTGAGTTTTCCTGTGGCTAACATTTACATTTAGAGTATAAATAAGAAATATTTCCCAATGCATAGAAAGTCTGAATGTAGGACAACACTGACCATTTTTCCTGCTTGTCATGGTATGTCTCTGGTTGTAAAAGAGGATCATAATTAATACTTACCTCTGTATTCCACTAAGGCTCTAGGGGGTAGGTAGGCCACACACTCATGCAGAGAAATACCAATTGGATCTTTTTCAACATGGAAGGCTTGAACATCTAGTGCCTAAGAATGTGTTCCAAAGGAGAAGGGGCTTTGGCATTTTGTTGTCCATGTCTATAAAGTAAAAGCAAGGCATAAGTATGAAACCTTTTCTGTACCCAGGCATTGAACTAAGTACCGTTTGATGAGCTATGAGTGATATTGAGCTATCTAGTTAATGCATAAAATGAGTTAAAATAAGATGTCCTTTTTTTTCCTATTTGATAGATGTTCCCCATGTGTCTCTTGGGTTGAAACTGCTCCAGGGCAGGTGAATGCCCTCTGGAGAGAATGGACGATAGATTCTGTCAGCTTATCCACCCTGGACCTGGCACACAATCCTATATTGCTAGATAGCTCGTGAGTTTTGTTTCCATAAAGAATGTTTAATGAAGGAAGCATGACTTTGTAAGCATGTATTATAAGGGAGCATACATTAAAAGGTGAATTGGTGATAGAGTACTTTTCAGGTTTTTTAGAGTAACTCTCCTCTAGAGATAGATAGAACAACTGACTGGAGGAGCCTTACTCCTTAATCTGGGCAAGAGTCTCCAGACATTTGTTTCTCACTTATCTAGGTAACCTTTCTTCGTAACAGGACAAGGTTATACTTCATTTAGATTTCTGTATCTTTGAAGCTCACAGGTTAAATTTATAAATTATCATCTAGCAGTCACATTTTAAGTTAGAAAGAGGCACATCAGTCTTCTAGTCACACAAAAAATCCTAGTTACATTTTTAAAAATTTTATTTAAAGACAAAAGAAAAAACTTTTATTTAAAGAGAAAAGAAAAAAACTGAAAAAGAGTCCAAGTAACACAGAATTTCAAAAAAATAGAAATCACTAGATAATAGATTACACATTGTCATCTTAGAAATAATTGCTCAAGTCTATTTACTTTTAATTAACATAGGTAAATCATTTCCCTAGTAGCTGCTATGGAATGTAAGCAGTCATTGCAAGCTACCTCAGTATAATCTCTGAAGGGACGGGTAGTTTAAGTGATCTTAAGATCTATTGAAAAGTTTAGAATGTTTTTAGTCTACTAGCAGAGAAATAAGAATGATAGAAAAGAGGAGATTTTAAATGGTCATGAGCAAATGTCCATTGAGGAAATGTTGGGTGACAACCAGAGTGTTACTCTGGCCAGGAACCCTCAGTTCTCAGTTTCTATTGCCTCAGATAACCAGACATCAGTCTCCAAAAAGGAATCCAGCTGCCTGTCTGGTCAACATTCTGTTGACTCCATTGGCCACTGGCTTCCATGGGGATTCACCAAACAGATGCTGGGGAAAGCTAGCCTCTGATTTTGAGGGTGGCAGTTGCTATAAGGATAATTAGCTGGCACAGTGACCACTGTGTGTCAAAATTCTATAAGGGATAATTAAAAGACTGCAAGATCATTACCTACACATTTATCAATTTATAATAAAGGTTTTTAAGTCCATAATTTGAGAGGTTGGAAAGCCTCCTTATTCTAAATAGGTTTACATCCCCTATGTGTGCTGCTTTTAAGGATAGCTGCTTCCATTGCCCCATGGAAACTGGTTCTCCCCACTGTGTCTCAGGTTTAATTTCCAAAGGAGATTTGCCCAGAACACTGAGCTGGGACACGGCTCTCATGTGTATTCTCCTGAATAGGCACAATTCTGATGTCTCATCTGACCCAGAGATGGGGTATGTGTCCCTCATCTAAGATGACTTCCCTGTCCTTGGCATTAGCAAATGCTCATTTTCTATGGGCTTAACTCAAAAGGAAAAGGTTGGAATAATCTAGAGTTTTTCCCACTTTTATATGCCTTTATTAGGAAAATGTAAAGTGGCAAGAGAGTAAGAGATAAAGTGAAACAAAGGAAACAGAACAGGCTTGACATTCCTCTGGAGGATAAAGGAGGAGCAGAGCCAGTCTGTCTCAGTGAAACCTGTGCTCCAAATCCGGAAGCATGGCCACCAGCCTAGTGCTTCTTAAATGGTGGAACGAGTCCCATGTTTTATTGCAGGCATGTATGTTTTCTAAGTCTGAACTAGATTTCATTTAAGAAAACCATTTAACAGAAATTTATATTAAAGACTATTCAGGGTGTTCTATTATTATCTGTGGTGCTATTGTCTAAATATAGTTAAGCAAGGAATACCAGTAACTTTAGCAACTAATATAACATGTGAAAGAATAAAATAATAAAAATATGCCATTAAATCTTGTAATCCACAAACAAGCCCCCCAAAGCCTAAACTCAAGTTCAAAAATGGGCAAGACATGTTTTTATTTTCAAAAAGCAGCGCTGATTTATTTTATCCTGGGCCCTGTAACACAGTGCAGTTGGAATTTGCAAAAGCTGTGTGTCCTCCTTAAAGCTTTCTAGCCTCTTGTAGAGAGCAGAGTTTACAAAGTAAAGGGCTATGGGGGTGGATCAGGAAATCTGCTAAGGAAATGTTTTCCTTAGCAGAGGACAGAGTAGTCTAGCATTAGTTAATTCTTTGTCAGCTTATTTTAGCACCACATCTGTTATTAGTAGAGGGCAACGATGTTTAACATATCAATTAGGTTAGGTTCCCCGGGATTTACAATTTTTTACAGACAGGAGCATTGATTAACATATCAGTTAGGTCACCCAGAGGGGGGAAAATGTATACAAAACAGTAGGCGGCGTTACAGGTACTTTGGCATAATACAAACGTAACAGAGCTCTTTTTGCTAGTGTACAGCATTCCCCACTGATTTTAGTCAGTGCACCAAATCATTGGCTCATGGGTTTTCAGACATAGGTACCTGTTTATAACCTTGCATCTTTAAAATCATAAGCTGTATAATTTGAACCTGATCTTTGACATAGTTTTCCAATCTGAGTATAATACAAGGCCCAATAGGAAGATTAACAAATTTCTTGCAGCTGTCATTATTAAAGCTGTTAACCAAAAGGAGAAAGAAAACCAACATTTAAATTCACTGTTTTGTCACATAATTAACAATTTTTTTACAAGCCAGATAGAGGTTTCCTTGGGGTTTCTATAAGGGAGAACACAAGATTATTAGTTACATTTGGCAGTCTTGAGCTTTAAAGAGTCCTTGGAGGGAATGACAGTCCACTTATCTGTAGGTTGATCGCCTTTGGAAGCCAGGACCTGCTTGAAGTGGGAATGATGCATCGAGGCAGGCTTTCTGGCTACTTTGATAGCAGTTGGAGTGCTGAGGACTACAATGTAGGGACCTTTTCAATGGCTCAAGAGATCCACGGTGAAGCCTCTTGATGAGCACAGGTGACTCAGGCTCTACAGAAGGGTGTTTGTTCTCTCAGTGGGCTGCAGGTGGAGGATGTTGTTGTCAAAATAACCAGTGGGTGGAAGTCAGAACTGGCTAAAGAGTTTGGGGAGACTTAATAAGATCTTGATTAGCTAAATCAGCTAATTTTTCCTCAAAAATCTTAGGTATAAGAGGAGTTCTCTCATATAAAGCCTCAAAAGGGGAAATACCAGTAACATAGAGGGTACACTGTGCATACAAGAGGTCAAAAAAGGAAGGAGACTCCCCAGTTCTCACCAGTTTCTAAGGCCTTTAGTAATTACCATCTTTAATGTCTGGTTTATCTTTTCTACTTGTCTTCAACTTTGGAGGCAGTAAGCACAATGGAGTTTCCAATTGATCTGCAAGACTTTGGTTAGTTTTTGAGTTATCTGGGCCATAAAAACCGGCCCATTGTAAGGCCCCATTGATAAGGGGAGGCCAAATTGTGGGACAACCTCATGTAAGAGTTTTTTGACTACTATCAGAGCTGACTCAGATTTTGTAGAAAAAGCTTTTACCCATCCAGTGAAAGTATCAACCATTATAAGTGAATACTCATATCATTGAAGTCCAGGCTTCCCCACTTCTGTAAAGTCTACCTTCCAGTGTTCTCTAGGCATAGTCCCACTTAGTGAGTGGCTGCTTTGGGTTCACCAAATGGCACTGAGGGCATCTGAGACTCACAGACTGGGCAAGCTTTGATATTAGCCCCCAAATGCAAGTCTTTTCAAGTGCAAATAGGCTCTGACAAAGTAGGTGGGAATGCAGTGATGTCAGGGCTATCTCAAATCCCCACTGATTCTACAGCTGCCTTTTGGGTGGTGGCATCTGCCAAATTATTTCCTCATATAACAAGGCCATCTCCTGCTCAATGGGCTCTATAGTGGATAATAGCCACTCTTCCTGGCATCCAGATGGCATCCAACAAGTCCAAAATTTGGGAAACATTTTTAATCTTTTGGCCCCAGAAGCCAATAAGCACCATTCTTGATAAATGGTCCCACGAACATGGGCAGTAACAAATGCATACTGACAACTTGAGGTCTCAGTGAGGGCAATGAGTTCAGCCTGTTGGGCCAATGTTTTTGGCTCCAGGCTTGGTTCCCATAGAATCTGAGAGTCTGTAGTAATGGCAGCTCCCACAACCCACTTACCTGGATAAATGTAATTGCTTCCATCGGAGAAATACAAAGGAACTCTGAATAGTGGCTCATCTGTCAAGTCTGGTCCCCAATACAGATGTGGAGGGCAAGGAGGGGCATCATCAGGCAGCAGAGTGGCAGGGTTTGAAGCCGCTGTCCCCTTGAAACTGATGGTAGTCAGATCTAGAAGTAATGCTTGATAATGCATGACTTGGGAGTTGGGCAGCCATTGGTCCGGTGGAGGCTTGATGAGAGTCTCCAGCGAATAGGAGGAGACAATTAAGAATTTTGGTCCACAAGTCAGTTTTTGTGTCTCCTCTATCAGGATGACTACCGAGGAAAACACCCACAGACAAGGTGGCCATCTGGCTGCCACATAATCAAGTCTCTTGGAAAGATAGGCAACAGGCCTCTGCCAGGGTCCCAAACTCTGCGTCAGGACTATGGCTCCTAGAAATTTTTCCACTCGGTTTTTAGTCACAGGGACTGGAATCTGTTGGATGGCTTGCATCTGCTGGGAGGAAAGAGTCATTTATTTTTATTTTTTTATGGAAAGTCCAACAACCAATGCAGTTTTTCTGCCCAGCAGAAATCTCTTAAGCCTGGTCTTTAGGGTCCTCCCGGTTGTCAAATATCTTTTAAGCAACCTCTGATAACTGACTGAAGGGCATTTCCTCAAATCTCTCAAACTTTTGCAATTTTTGCTTAACATCAGTGGCCGACTGGGTTACAAAGGCAATATTAATGGCCCTTGCATTTTTAGGCACTACTGGTGTATAAATGTGATAGGGCTTTTGCACTCTTTTCAGAAAACCCCGAGGGAGACTAGTAAGTCTCTGTTGAGCCAATTGCCTCACCTCTGCTCTCTTGGGCAAAAGGTAGGTTTTCTGGGGTGCCCTAATGGCTACTGAGAACAACTGGCAATACCCATAAGGAACCTCCTCATCTCTGGTTGTCCACTTAGGGTGGGACAAAAGGAAAACATGGTTTTGGCATTCTGGATCACAGGCAGGTTTTATCTGGATGGCACACTGTTTTTTTTGTTTTTGTTTTTGTTTTTTTGTCCCAGGGTGGGCCATTGCCCACATGGCAGGCCACTGTTTTACTGAAAGTACATACTTAACAAAAAAAAGGCTTTTTCATAGGTAACAAAAGTAATTGTGCCGCATAATCTCCCAGATATCCACAGCACATGCAAGAACTTGTATTTTATCTCTATAATCACCAGTCACATTAGGCATAATAGTTATTTCTTTTAAATTTAGATCAGCTTATTGTAGTAGAAGATGAATTTTTTTTCTCTGTTTTTTGCAAGCAATCAAAATCTCAACTTTGTCTTTAATAATCTATAGCATTCCTGGAAATTCCCCTCACCCAAACTCACAATATTGCAAATCATCCTGTTGAGCTCTTTGCTCTTGATAGCCATAGCACAAAAAGCATTTTCTCTTTTACATTTTTATTTTAAGACAAAACCACTTTTTAAAATTTATTATCAGTCAATTACTTTTTCTCTTGATTTTTAGGTTTTGTTAAAACCTTTAACAAAATGCTTGAAATGACTTTCTTTTAGTAGTCTAAAACTTATGTAATCATTTTATTTCTTTTCACCACATTAAAATGCTACATTTTAAAAACTAACTTCTTTAACTGGCTCAATTATAGTATGACCTGGTTTTTACTTGCAAAAGTTAATATGATTTTTAAAAACCATAAATATACATATATATGCGCACATATATTCACATTTTAACCATAAAGAAAAATACATTTAAAAGACATGCCGAGGTTGCAAGTAATCAGTTGAGGATAAAAACATTAAACAAGGTGCCACAAAAGATAAAACCAACATTAAAGACATAAATGAAGGTTTTTCTGCCCCCAGTTTGGCAAGCTAAAGGAAATTTTTGTTATGAACCTTGAGTCCAATAAGCCACATTGATCCTGCAACAGAAATGGACAACAAGCCCCTAAGTTAGTAAAAAAAAAATTTATCAGTACCAGGGATTGCTGGGTGAAAACAGGCCCTAAAACACAAACAGGCCCCAACACCCCACATGGGCATAGGTCCCCCACATGGGCCTATGCCATACACACAGCCCCAGGTCCCCCACACGGGTCTAGGCCATACACATGGGCCTAGGTCCCCCACACGGGCATAGGCCACACACATTACAAGTAGGCGAGAGCCCCCAGAATCCAGTGCAGAAAAAGCGCGAGCTTGTCTGCAGTCACTGTGCACATTCAAATTACAAATGGGCAAAAACCCCTACACGGGCCGAAGCCCAAAGTTACGAATGGGCCCCAAAAGCCCTAAATTACAAAATGGGCAAAAAGGCCCCTGGAAGTTGTCTCATTTTATCTGCAGTTACAAATGTGCACACTCAGATTACAAACAGGCAAAAAACCAAATACTTACAGATGTTAAGCCAATCGATCGGTGAAAAAATAATTTGGAGGGGTCCCCCAGTACTCCCAGGTGAGCCCCTTAATCTTGTAATCCACAAACAAGCCCTCCAAAGCCCAAACTCGAATTCAAAAATGGGCATACATATTTTTATTTTAAAAAAACAGCGCTGATTTATTTTATCCTAGGCCCACTGACACAGTGCAGGTGGAGCTTGCAAAAGCTGTGTGTCCCCCTTAAAGCTTTCTAGCTCTTTTGTAGAGAGCACAGTTTATAAAAGGGTTATGGGGGTGGATCAGGAAATCTGCTAAGGAAATGTTTTCCTTAGCAGAGGACAGAGTAGCCTAGCAGTAGTTAATAAACCTTTGTCAGCTTATTTTAGTACCACATCTGTTATTTGTAGAGGGCAACAATGGTTAACATATCAATTAGGTTAGGTTCCCAGGGATTTACAATTTTTTACAGAAGGGAGTATTGATTAACATATGAGGTCACCCAGAGGGGGGCGGGGGGGGGGTCGCATACAGAACAGTAGGTAGCATTACAGGTACTTTGGCATTATACAAACATAAGGAAGCTCTTTTTGCTAGTATATAGCATTAAAGAAATATCATGACCTTTTAATTTTCCTGTGTTTAAACTTGGATTTATATTACATTTTTTGTTTGTTTGTTTGTTTGTTTGTTTGTTTGTCTGAGACAGGGTCTCCCTATGCAGTTCAGGCTGGCCTTGAGCTCACTTTGTAGCCCAGGCTGGTCTGGAACTCACAAGGATCCTCCTGCCCTAGCCTCCTGAGTGCTGGGATTCCAGATATGAGCCACCATGCCCAGCTGATTTACATTATTTTAATAAAACTATATGAGACAAAGCACTTTAAAACAACGGGCAAATAGCAAGCAATTATCAAAAGTAACTGGCAAATATAAAAGCAAAGTTGGAGGCATAAAAATTTGTTACCTAAATAAGTCCCACTTGAGAGTCTATGAAGCAAAAGCAAATTCTCACCTCTTTCCAATGATCTCAGTGGAAGACCTCCAAATGATATAAGGGAGTGAAACTCCTGACCTACTATGTCAGGAGGAGCAAAACACAGTTGACAAAGAATGCCCTAAAGGGGCGATACCAGTTTCCCCAGCACTTCTCCAAAGAGGTGCAAAGCTTAATCAAGGGTCTTCTCAACCCTGACCCAAGCATGCGCCCTACCTTGGAGCAAGTAAGGCAGCATCCATGGCTTCAGCTTGAATCTGTCCCTTGTCATCCTCCTCAACTGCTCCCCAAAGCCACAGAAAGGGCACATTATGGCTGGGAAGGGGTACAACCGGCTGAAGGTGAATTCGTGTTCTCTAAAATCAAAGAGTAAATTTTAGGAACAATAGAGGTAAAGAGTAAAATATATTTATTGAGAGAAAGCAAGCTTCTGTCTGAGAGAGACAGGAGGAGTCCCAAGCAGTGGGACTCTGTCTTTCCCAGGGACGTTTATAGAGGAAAATCATGGGATGAGATGGACTTGTGGGCAAAACTGGGAACTCACAAGGCAGATGGGCATAAGGTAGGGCAGAACTATGGTTAACCAATAAGATTAATAGTTCAGGTAAATTCATTAAATTGGGGACAAATGGGGAAGTGAGCCACTTAGAAAGCAGGCATTCTTAGAGAGCAGTGAATCTTCCCTAGGGGGTTGGAATGGTGACTCCTGACTTCCGCGGGGTGCTAAGAAGCTATTTAGAACATCAGTCCTTATGGATGTATTTGTTTGATCTTTTGTCTTGAGGTTTGGCCCACAGCAGGAGGTGCCTGTCTCCCCTTAGCTGCAAGGTATCTGAGCTCCTGCACTGGCTCCTTCAGGACCTAGCCCTGTCTCCCTGCCTATAGTATTTCTAGCTAACTCAGGGGCCCGAAACACTACTGCAGGCTTGCTGGGATCTGACAGCACGCAGCTGGGCTTGGAGTGCCTCCACTGTCTTCTCTGCACTGGACACTGCAATAAGACCACAGACCGCAGAGGCCTGCCACAGGTTTAAAGTCAGAGAACTTTTTGTCTTTGTGTTTTGTTTTTCCTGCCTGTGTACATTGTTCTCAGCTTTTGTATTTTTCTCTCTTTTTTGGTCCTGCTTTTTGCTCCTGTTTTATCACTCGTTTTCTAAGGCCTGGTAATCTCCCTTTGTACTTCAGTCTTCTTATCTCTCTTTTATTTTTCTATATTTTCTTGGTATCCCTAATAAATTTTCTCCCTTTAGGGCAAATTGCTCTACTGAGTATATACTTACTGTATATAATATTCTGCTTTGCCTTATAGTTGGCTGTGTAACTACAAATCTCATACCTGTGATTAAAGCAGGCATGTCCTTGGTCATAAGAGTTTATCATTTCCTGGCTGTGTTGGTTGCAGTTGTTATAGCTGATTGTACTATGTTAGCCAAAGTGACAGAGTTATTGGCATCAACTGATCTTCTTTGAACACCACCACCTCAGTTGTCTGAGGGGCACAAACAATCCTGTAGTTCTGGACTACAGAACTATAAGAACTGGGTGCTGGGCCAAACAGGCAGCAGCCCTTCATTCCTACCGAACTGAAGAGGCAGGGCTGGGGATGGAGCTCAGTGGCACAGCTCCTGCCTGGCAAACACAAGACCCTGAGTTTGACTCCCAGTACCAAAAAAGAAATTCCATAGTTTCTCGTTTTGAAAAAAAAAAAAAAGTTCCTTTAAGAAAAGAAGAGGCAAAATCTTGGGATGACAGAATCCAAAGCCAGCTACCCCTACAGAACATCTCTGAAAATAGTCATTTCCTTAAGAGGTCCCAATACTAGTAATAAACTACTGACCATAAGCAATTTACAAGCCTCAAGGCAGAAAACAAGTACAAAGATAGAAAATGAGAAAATGCAGAAGCAAGATGCACCATGACATGTGTTATGTGCATGTTCCAACTTGCCCTGAACACTCTCTGGTTCAGATCCTGCCCCAGGTGCTGCAAACACAGACCACAGTTTGGAAGCCACGAATGTCTTCTCTTTACCAAATGTCACTGTTCCCACGGTGGCAAGCAACACCATCACGTGTGGAGATTTCTCTTGTTCCAAACTCTGTCCCCACCACACGCATGCCTGTGTGCCCTCAAGGCTGGATATGAGTCTCTGTTTACTGACACAAGACTTCAATGGGCTCCTTTCAAAGGCTTGCAGACACAGACTTGGGGACAGCATTCAGAAGACCAGGGTTTGGGTCCATGTCTCTTCATGGGGATGTGTGGGGGTGATGGTAGATGACCCCTTGCTCTTCCCAGAACACACCCTACTGCCAGGCACAATAAGGGAGGTAGTGGTCAGGTGTGGTCAGGTCCATGGTACCCAGGTCTCCCTGCATCCTCATGGGAGGTTGTGGTCAGGTCCATGGTGCCCAGCCCTCCCTGTCCCTGGGGCAGCCTCCCTCAGACAGCAGGACACAAGCCAGGTGACTCTCCCCCCTGCTCCTCCTGTCTTCCTCTCGCTGGCTCTCAGTTCCTGGTGCCTGTGCAGCCTTCCCATGCTGTGCACCAACCCCTCCCTCTGCTTCTCGCCCACAGGATACACTAGTGATCTTGACTCCTCCTCTCCCCTCCAGCTCCCTGCACAAAGGGCTGCAAGGCAACTCACTGTGGCTTCCACTTGTGTGGCTGACCTCGCTGTCAGGATGACCACATCCATAGGAGGGATCATGGATCTGCACTACAAAGGCAAGGAGACATGTGTAATGCACGCTCACTGGGAAACACAGCATACAGTGGTGGCTGTGGTCACTCCAGCCTCCTCTGCAGCAGACCCCACTGCAACTCCTCCTACCCACACCTGGCCTCTGCCCACACCTACCCTTCTCCCTCCCCTCCTCTCCTCCCTACAGTTCTTCCCTGACAGTTGAAAATGATATCGAGACACAGCACATTCTGAGGAAGCAGCCGGACCACTCAGACTCCTTGAGTGACCTCTGGTTCTCTACTGTGCAGTACTTACACTGCGACCACCTTGTGTTTGTGACACTTGCACGTCGATAGGGGGCAGCAGCACAGGGCCTGCAGGCAGTCTCTCATGGTTCTCTTGACAGTTTTCCAGCCCCACCTCCTACTGCTGACAGGGGCTGGGGCAGCAGTGAAGGCAGCATTTGGAGTCCCAGGGCTGTGCTGGAAGGACTCACCGGGAGAGGCAGGATTGGGCTGCCAGTATGACTCAGTAGAGGCATGGCTGGTTTTACAGGACTTGATGGGAACAGCAGGGCTTGGTTGACGGGATGCTTTAGGGGTAGCAGGCCCTGAATGGTAGGACTTGATGGAAGAAGCAGGGCTTGGTTGACGGGATGCTTTAGGGGTAGCAGGTCCTGTATAGTAGGACTTGATGGAAGAAGCAGGGCTTGGTTGACGGGATGCTTTAGGGGTAGCAGGTCCTGGATGATAGGACTTGATGGGAGAAGCAGGGCTTGGTTGACGGGATGCTTTAGGGGTAGCAGGCCCTGAATGGTAGGACTTGATGGAAGAAGCAGGGCTTGGTTGATGGGATGCTTTAGGGGTAGCAGGTCCTGTATAGTAGGACTTGATGGAAGAAGCAGGGCTTGGTTGACGGGATGCTTTAGGGGTAGCAGGTCCTGTATAGTAGGACTTGATGGAAGAAGCAGGGCTTGGTTGACCGGATGCTTTAGGGGTAGCAGGTCCTGGATGATAGGACTTGATGGGAGAAGCAGGGCTTGGTTGACGGGATGCTTTAGGGGTAGCAGGCCCTGAATGGTAGGACTTGATGGAAGAAGCAGGGCTTGGTTGACGGGATGCTTTAGGGGTAGCAGGTCCTGTATAGTAGGACTTGATGGAAGAAGCAGGGCTTGGTTGACGGGATGCTTTAGGGGTAGCAGGCCCTGAATGGTAGGACTTGATGGAAGAAGCAGGGCTTGGTTGACGGGATGCTTTAGGGGTAGCAGGTCCTGTATCGTAGGACTTGATGGGAGAAGCAGGGCTTGGTTGACGGGATGCTTTAGGGGTAGCAGGTCCTGGATGATAGGACTTGATGGGAGAAGCAGGGCTTGGTTGATGGGATGCTTTAGGGGTAGCAGGCCCTGAATGGTAGGACTTGATGGAAGAAGCAGGGCTTGGTTGACGGGATGCTTTAGGGGTAGCAGGCCCTGAATGGTAGGACTTGATGGAAGAAGCAGGGCTTGGTTGACCGGATGCTTTAGGGGTAGCAGGTCCTGTATCGTAGGACTTGATGGGAGAAACAGGGCTTGGTTGACGGGATGCTTTAGGGGTAGCAGGCCCTGAATGGTAGGACTTGATGGAAGAAGCAGGGCTTGGTTGACGGGATGCTTTAGGGGTAGCAGGTCCTGTATCGTAGGACTTGATGGGAGAAGCAGGGCTTGGTTGACGGGATGCTTTAGGGGTAGCAGGTCCTGGATGATAGGACTTGATGGGAGAAGCAGGGCTTGGTTGACGGGATGCTTTAGGGGTAGCAGGCCCTGAATGGTAGGACTTGATGGAAGAAGCAGGGCTTGGTTGACCGGATGCTTTAGGGGTAGCAGGCCCTGAATGGTAGGACTTGATGGAAGAAGCAGGGCTTGGTTGACGGGATGCTTTAGGGGTAGCAGGTCCTGTATCGTAGGACTTGATGGGAGAAGCAGGGCTTGGTTGACGGGATGCTTTAGGGGTAGCAGGTCCTGGATGATAGGACTTGATGGGAGAAGCAGGGCTTGGTTGACGGGATGCTTTAGGGGTAGCAGGCCCTGAATGGTAGGACTTGATGGAAGAAGCAGGGCTTGGTTGACCGGATGCTTTAGGGGTAGCAGGCCCTGAATGGTAGGACTTGATGGAAGAAGCAGGGCTTGGTTGACGGGATGCTTTAGGGGTAGCAGGTCCTGTATCGTAGGACTTGATGGGAGAAGCAGGGCTTGGTTGACGGGATGCTTTAGGGGTAGCAGGTCCTGGATGATAGGACTTGATGGGAGAAGCAGGGCTTGGTTGACGGGATGCTTTGGGAGTAGAAGGGCCTGGATGGCAGGACTTGATGGTAGTAGTATGGCTGGGCTGGCAGGCCTTGGTAGTAGCAATAGCACGGCTTGGTTTGTGAGATGCTACAGGGGGAGGAGATGAAGATGGCTGATATTCATCTGTATACTCATCTTTGTTTGTGGACTGTTCAAACAGATCTTCAGCCTCACGTTTGTGTGTGGGCTTCACCTCAGACCTCAAGTGGAGTTTCTCGAGTGCCATGTCCTGTAGTAGCAGGAAGGGCGCCATGTCAGGATCGTATTTTCTGCACTTCACTGCATCAATCACCTTCAGCCGGTTGTACCCCTTCCCAGCCATAATGTGCAATATTGCCCTTTCTGTGGCCTTGGGGAGCAGTTGAGGAGGATGACAAGGGACAGATTCAAGCTGAAGCCATGGATGCTGCCTTACTTTCTCTAAAGTAGGGCGCATTCTTGGGTCAGGGTTGAGAAGACCCTTTATTAAGCTTTGCACCTCTTTGGAGAAGTGCTGGGGAAACTGGTATCGCCCCTTTAGGGCATCCTTTGTCAGTCGTGTTTGGCTCCCACTAAATGGGCGTACCCCAGCGAGCATCTCAAATAAAAGTATCCCTAAAGACCAAATGTCCAGTGGTGGGCCTTGGTATTTCTTTTGTAAAAATATCTCTGGGGCAGCATACTTTCGGGTGCCTCCACACGTGGTCACCTCCTGGCCAGGAAGGAACCTGAAAGCCACGCCAAAATCGCTGAGCTTGGGGTGGCCTTCACGGTCCATTAATATGTTCGCCGGTTTCAGGTCCCCATGGATGACTCCCCTGTTATGGCAGTACTGCACAGCCTCCAGGAGTTCTCGGAATATCAGCCGTGCCCTTTCCTCCTGCAGCTTCTGTCTCTCAGCACGCTTGATATGTCGCTGCAGGTCTTTCCCGCGTGCATATTCCATTACCAGGAACATAGTGGTACTATTTTCTGACACTTCCAGCAACTGAATGATATTGGGGTGCTGAAGGTCCTTTAGGATGCTGACCTCCCGTCTAACAGCAGTAGGCCTCAACTTGTCCTTTTGAAGTACCTTCACAGCTACCAGCATCCTTGTGCTCACATGTTCAGCGAGTACCACCTTGGCAAAGTGACCCTCACCAAGGGGCATCAGCACGTCATAGTCTTGATGGAAGTTTCCTGTGAACGATGACATTTCTGTGGACGATGACATGACGTCCAGCAAAGATGATTTACCCACCTCGAAGGGTGCCCTGATGGAACTAGGCTTTATAAAATCAATGACAAAAATTTCGAATCTCAAAACGCCAACTCAACTCCAAACACCAATCTACTTCACCCACAAAGAGTCTCTGGGGTGAACACCCTACCTTACACAGCTAACTGCTGTGACCTCACAGGGGATCTTGTGAGGTCATGGTGCCAGTGGGCCCAGGCAGAGCTGGTCACCTCCACTTCACTCATCACACTCTTGGCCATGAGGGTCTTTTGATTCTAACAGAAAAATGTTACAAAATGTCTTACTAATGTGAGTTATGGAGATTGACACTTTTGTTTTAGAAATTCAGACCTGTAGGATGCTTCAATATCCCTTTTTGTTTCTGTTCTGAGAATCTGTTCTCAGCATCTGTAATACCTCTTGCATTTAGAGATCCCATGATGTCTACACTCAGCATCTCCAGTTCCTTTTGCTCTTAATTCTTACTGGTGTCAAAGTGATGCTGCAACTTCACTTACATTAGAATAACGTAACGTTCAGTGTATAAAATATGACAAATAAATTAATGCCTGTGCAGCTGACAGCAATTCCCCAAAAACATAATCATTAGACTTATCCTCAAAATCCTTGGAGAGCAGCGGCAAGCACAGTCACAGAAAGGACACCCAGGAGTTGGAGACACATTTATTTACACCAACGGGCACTGATTGGTACATTCCCAGAATATCAGGGCCTGATCTCTGATGGTCTGAGGCCTGTATAGGATAAGCAAGTGGGGAGTACCGGGGCAAAATGGCTTGTTGATTGGGGTTGGTTTATGCAGCGTGCATCACAGTGACCAGCTAGGCGTCTCAGTGACCAGCCGTTTCTTAGAGACAGAACTGTTACCTGGACAACTAAGAACTGCAGTATACTGACTGGGGTGCGGGATATTCTGTTACAGGAGGACAGAAGGAAACAGGTGGACATGTGCTGTGTGAATGAAACAGTGAAACAAAACAAAAAGCTCTCTCAACTAAGCATTTTACATCCAGCAAAACTGTCCTTAAAATGAGGGGGAAAGCTCAGACATTCCTAGATGCAAGCACTGAAGAATGTCCGTCCTTCCTACTAGGCCTGCCTTGGGTAGAGGAGTCCCTTAGGTTGAAATGAAAGAACCAGCTGTGGTCCCACATGCCTGTGATCCAGCACTCAGGAGGCTGAGGCAAGATGATCACTGTGAGTTCAAGGCCAGCCTGGGCTACAGAGCAAGACCCTGGCTCACAAAGGAGAATTTTTTTGCAGGAACTCAAGTCTGAAGAAAAGTCTGTTAAAGCTGAATATGTGGACCTTTATGAAAATCAGGACTGGTTTTGTATTCTACATGTTAGAGGCTCACATATTGAAAAGAAAACAAGGCACCCTGTAGTACTGTATTTCCTGAGACACAGTGTGGCATACGTGGAGGAAACTACAAACTCACTCCCCAGATGTGGGGCAGCATCCTGTATATGGCTATGTTTAACTGCCACGGATTCACACCACCCTGGGGTGGCCTTGGGATTTTCAAAGTTATATCCACGGCATCCTCAAAGAAAACATAAATAGCTTTTACACAGGTGACGAGCCCATTGACTCCAAAACGAATGGCTCCTGCAGAAGAGCAGGACAGCTGCTGCTGGAGTGGGGACAGCCACGCCCAAGCCTCTCTCCCAGTCAGCAGCATTCGCAGACTGTGGAGCGAGAACCAGGCCTCACAAGGGGGTGGGCCCTGCCTGGAAACCATGTCATTTTCATTGCTTTGTTGGTTGGGTTTTATTCTTTCATTTTGTTTGATTATATTAAATCTGATGCCATGAACAACTGTTCAAAAGATAGCAAGACGTGTTATGGTAGCCATTCTGGACTTACTGTGAGCTTGTTTTGAAGTCCTTTACTGCAGTCATTGTTTTGTGTTTGTTGTTTCTGCTCTATTCTGTTGTTTGATTTTTACCAGGTCCAAAGGTATCTGCAGCTATTTTGAAGATGATAGAGGCATTATGGTAACTATTGCTGATTTTCTAAGTTTTAAAGACCTGTATCACTTATACTGGTTTATCTTGATCGGTTTTGTTCTGTTTTATTTTCCTTGGTTTTATCCTCTATTTAGGCCAGGGATTTAACTCAGCAGCATAAGATCTGTCTGGCAAGTGTGAGGTCCTGAGTTTGATCCCTGATACGAAAAACATAAAATAAAATAAAATTTTAAAAAATAAAGAAGAAGAAGATGAAAAAGAGCAACGACAAGATGCTGCAAGGCTCATGAAACAGCCACCTGACAGAGGCAAACTCTTGCAAGCTCTAATTCCCTTCTAATGAAGGGGCAGTGTCTTCCCAATCAAAAGCAGAGACTGGGAGACGAGATGGGAAACCTCACCCAATTAGATGCAAAGCAAGAAGGTAGAAAAAGTACAAAGTAAAAGTCCTCTGTGCCAAATACAGAAGAGTTGGCCACTCTACTGTTGGAGTGGGTCTTTGGTTAAGAAAAGGTTTCAGGAGACACAAGGACATATTAGAGTGTAGGTAGCAACATAACCACATGCAGTAGGCCTATCCTGTACCAGTAAATTTTACTTTAGTGCAATAGCCAGCTGGGCATGTCACTACCTTCCCCTGAGGGACACTGGAAAGCAGTTTATGTGATTACCAACTTGCTGTGTCAAACAATGAAGTGGGTGAGCAAGTGGAAAAGTCTCAAAATGGGATTTTCACCCACGTTGTGCTCCATCTAACTGCTTTTGTGTGTTTATTCAAGCATCAAAGAGGGTTCAATAATCTCCCATTACTCCAGGATTTGTCTTTTTAAAAGCTTTCTTTTGATTTTTCTGGTGGAAATAGCCCAGTTCTGTACAATGGCATGTGAAAACTATATCTTGGAGGAGGTCACAAGTGAATGAATCGTCAGATTACTCATGCATGAGTGATGAAGATGATCCATTATGACAAAACACTTTCATAACAGAAGAGTGTTGTGGATGGATGGATGTCGATGAAGAGGAGGGAGAGGACTTTGACATTGGCCATGTGAGTCAAACTTCCTGGGACAGTGAAGTGGAGCAAAGATCAACTGATACTGATACCGACCTCCTTTGTTAAGATGACAAAGAAAACAATGTGAATACATATTTGACTAGTGAAAATGTTGCAAAATGGCCACATAACCAAATGAAATGATCTAATGTTAATACTAAGTCCAAAAATATAGTGAGGGACTTGGCAAGAGTGAAATGTATTGGACGAATGCTGATACTGCTATTCAAAGTTGGAAATTTTAACACATGAAATGTTACAAGATTCTGTGAAATATAGAGGTTAAAATTCAAGTAAAGTGTTCTCTATGCACCATTAGCCATATTCAAAAATGTTTTATGACATGGTGCTGAACTGAAAGCATTTATGGATCTGTGTGCTTAGGAGGGATTTCTCATAGTGGATTCTCATAGGGATTGCAGGAATGTAAAGGCCTCATGGAAAATGATGGGTCAACTCTGGCATAATGCATGCCCTTGTGCATGTGAGGACTTTTTGTGCTTTCAATTTAGACATTTAGCCTTGAACTTAGCCACAAGGTGTTTATTCATAGAATAATAAACCAGATGATGTTATGAACAGAAATGTTCTTATGGTTTGGGACTACAGTTCATATGAGATTATTTACAGCAGAGAAAAATCCAGCTTTTCTTGTCAGTGAATTATGTGAAGTACTGTGGAGTGCACTGGTGAGCTGACAGGTGAACAGGCACACACAGCTTCCTAGATCCACGATGATAAGAGGAAAACAAAAAGATCTCAACTGTGTCCTACAAGAAAATACAGGAAAACAAAACATGCTATCAGTGGAAGTGTCCCTCGTGTATGGAACATGCAAGACTGCCTTGGGTATGACAAGTGCAAAGACTGCTTTGGATATGACAGTTGAAGCAAAGCTTATTTATGTGGTAGATTTTTGTTTCTGTTTACATTGCAGTTCACATAGGTTTCTATTTTTGATGTTATCTTTGATGTGAAAATATATTGATGTGTATTCTTTTTTTTTTTTTTTTTTGTCTTTTTCATTTTTTTATCGGTACCGGGATTGAACTCATGACCGCCTGCTTGCAAGGCAGGTGCTTATGGTGCTGAGCTAAACCCCCAGCCCCATTGATGTGTATTCTAAAGGCACAACACACAGTAAGAATTTAAGAACTTCTTTTGATATTTTATGTTCCTGTTGGCTACACACTCTAATAGCACAATAACCTTGACAAAACAGCAAAACCATTGAGATATCAAGTACATCCTACAAAAAGAGTAGGACAGCAAAATGTGTGCTCCCAGTGTGAGTATTATGTGTCTATGGAATACGCTGTGGTCATGTGCACAGACTGATTTAGATGTGATAATTGAAGTGAAGATTACTTTTTTGTAAATTGCTGTTGGTATTTTCAGTGTAATTTGTATAGGAATATTTTTGTTATTTTTTGTAGACTTTATGCCAAAAAATTGTTGATGTTTTAAATTTTGATGCTTTATTATAAACACTCAATAAATATTAAAAATTCAATACTTTATATTTTTTTGTTTTTTTTCCTGGTAAGCCACTGTGTAATATAACATCACTTATAAAAGTAAAGTTAATAACTCATCAATAGAAATATTCTAAAGAATGAGTGTGTGTCTGGTAAACCTATGTTTCTGCACCTTTATGACAAAGTTAGTGTTATGCTCCTGAAATAGTCAAGACCAGGAAAGTTTGCAGGGATGCTGTTCACAGTGTCATCATCTAACCTTGAAGACTCCTCTGGAGGTTTCACCTACATCCTGCCATGCAGACAAGCTCTCTATCTACAGTTGCCAAATCCTGGGAGGCAACACACCTCCTGCAACTGGAGTTCAGTATTCTGTCTCTGAGGTGAACATCAAGACGGTCATACATGTGCCAGGCCCTGGGAGAACTCCTGCTCGTCCTCTGAGAGTTCAGGGAAATCCCTGGGCACTGAGATCACTGCTCCTCTAAGCCAGGGCCTCCCAGTCACTTCTCCTGTTTCTACACTAACAGTGTCCAACAATCTGACAGTTTCAAGGCCAGGGAAGCTAGAGAGGCCTTACAGCCAGGCCATCCACAGTGTGTTTCAGACAGGACTGGCTGGGCTCCAGCGAGGGAAGTGGTTGCCCTGAAGTCCTGCAGAGTGGTTTTGAAAGAGAGTTTTGTAGGGTATATCACCTGGGTTGGATGTTGCTTTCTTTTATGTGTTGAAATACCTCACTCCAAGCTCTCCTGGTCTTAATGGTTTGTGTTGAGAAGTGTGCTGTATTTCTAATGGTTTTACATTTATAAGTGATTCCTTGCTTTTCTTTATGAGGTTATAAGATTCTGTTCTCACCTTGGACTTCCCAGGTATTGACTGTCATATGCCATGGGGAGATCCTTTTCTGATTGTGGCTACTTGGGGTTTCATCTGTCTTTCTTATCTGCATGTCAAGTTACTTCCCCATATTCAGAAAGTTTTCTGCTATTGTTTCTGTCACAGATTTTTATGCCATCTGTGCTGTCTTGTGGTTTTTCACTTATTCCAGTTAGTTGTCTGTACACCATCTAATAGCTGTTGGATCTACTGTCCATGTTCCAGTTTTGTAAGGTGTCCCTGAGTATTTGGGCACTGACACCAGCCCTGTCTTCTAACTCCAGGGCTCTGTCCTTGTGGTCATTTCTGTTGCCCACACTTTGGATACAAGTTTAATTCTCTAGGATTTCTGTTTGGTACCATTTATGGACTCAAATTCGTTGCTAAGTCACTCATTTACGTTGTGTATCGTGTCTTTTTTTTAGCTCAGGTAATTTTGTAGTAGTGTATTTTGTAAATGTACTGATCATTCTGTTGAATTTAAGCTTTTATCACCTTGAATAATTCAGATGATAATTCACTGTCACTACTGTGGAAATCTCTTTAGTTAGTGCTTTTCAGTGATGCTCTAAGAGGTGTTTCTCTCCATTGTTTAAGTTTTAAGAACACTTGTGTCTGTTCTTTTCAAGGGTATTGATGTGTAGTTATCTCTCTGATACTTGTGTCTGCTCTGAATAATCACAATAACAGTGACCTCATAAACTGGGAAATTTTGCTCCTCAAATTCCTATGACAGTGTATAAAACTGATACTTCTTCTACCTTCAGTGTTTGGTAAAATTCAGCAGTGAAGCTAATCAAGCCTGAAGTTACTCAGAAAGGTCTAACGAATTCAGTGTCTTCCATGGAAATGAGGCACAGGCCCATAGACTTGGGCCCTTCTTGTCTTTCAGGAAATTTTTTCCCTGCATCAAAGCTTTCAAACATATCCGCTAACATTCTCTCCTTTGTTTTAGGTTATATTTTTGGCCCTGGGAATTGAACTCAGGGCCTTGCGCTTGCCGGGCAGGCACTTTGTCACTGAGCTCCATTCCCATGCTTCCTCTTAACTGTTTACTCTTTCAGGTTCTAGGTAAATAGTGCTGTCCCTAGTGTTAATTTCTAAACGTATTTCATCATAGTGAGACAAAATTCTCTGCATAATTGAAATTCTTTTAAATTGATTGGGGTTTATTTTGTGACTGTGTTGGAAACATTTCCTCCATGTACAGCAGTGAATACTGCACTGCTGTTTGGATGGGATGCTTCTGTCAGTGGCAGTTGGTATAAGTTTGTCCATAATATACAACCTTTTTTACCAGAAGAACATGGCGGATAGATAGCAGCAGCCTCTGAGGCTCTCGGAGAAACTGCACTTGAAATCTAGGAATGGTGCAGGACAGGAAGATCCAGGCAAGGGGGGATATTCTTTGCTGACCCAGGAATGAACTAAATTAAGAGAAACCATCTGGAAATGCAATCCTGGCAAGATAGCAGGCACAGATAAGGTCTCAGCACGGAAGCTGGACCCGCACCACTGGAAACTGCAATTTGAATCACCTGCAGCTGCTGTTGCATCCCGGTCGGCACAGCAGGGAGAGAGGCGCAAAACCTCGGAGAGTGAGAAGCGTTGAAAGGAGATGGGAGCAGGACTGGCCGGTGCCCTGCATTGACCTGCCAGTGAATTGGACCCTTACATAGAGAAGGAGGCTTCAGCAGAGTACATACTTGGACCAGGCAGACTTCCCGGAACAAGAAGCTGCAGTGACTTCAGTCACATATCCCCCTCTCAAGCGGGATTGGTGGGGAGTGCCTGGCTTGTGAGAAGCCGCTGGCTGAGACCCAATAGGATAGCCCAACTCAGGTCCCAGTACCTGAAGGCGCACCCTAGCAGTGAAGCCTTGGGGGTAGGTTGACCTGGAGGGGCGGGCCCAGAAGAGGCTGCCCAGGTCTGTGTCTCCCTAGTACACTGCAGTGGGCAGGAACACCTAGCCGGCAATTCAAACAGACTGTGGCTGACAGGGAAGGAAGCTGGGCCTCCTATACACGCTTAATATAAGGAACAAAGAATATGGGAAGAGGGAGCAACAAGAAAGGGTCCTCAGTCCCCAATCCCGAGAAACACGCAATAGTAGACATGGGACCAATAGATATAAAGTGCTATCTCCAGAGCCTCATAGAGGAGTTCAGGAATGAAGTTATGAATGACCCGAAGCTAGACATAAGCAGAATAGTTAGAGAAATGCTAAGTACCACCCAGGAAAAAACAGATGGTACAATGGAAGAACAGAAAAAAAGGGGATAATTGTTTGATGGAGAAAATAGAGAAAACATAGAATACATGAAGGAGGTTCAAAGAGATTACAAGGAAACTAAAAACTCTATTGAAAACTGGCATAACAGCTTGAAAGAAACTAAGGACAGATTATCTGAACTGGAGGGCAGATTTGTAATATGGGAGCATGTAATGAAAAACTTCTTAAAAATAACAAAAAAACAAACAGCAATAATACAAAAACTAGAAGATGATAAGAGGATCTATAACTTAAGAATTAAGAACGTAAGAGAAGAAGTGGGGACACAAACAAATAGACTCAAAAGCTATTCACAGAAATAATCCAAGAGAATTTCCCTAATTTGGCAAATAGTAAAGATACTCAGATATATGAGGCATACAGGACCCCAGCAATCTACAACCCAAACAGAGCTACACCCAGGCACATAATAATCAAAATTACAGAAATCCAATATAAGAACAGAATATTAAAAGCTGTCAGAGACAAGAAACAGATCACTTACAAAGGAACACCCATCAAAATTACAGCAGACTTCTCGGCACAAACCATCAAATCATGAAGAGCGTGGGGGGAAATAATTCAAGCTTTGAAAGATAATAACCTCCAGGCAAGATTGATGTATCCTGCACAACTGTCCCTAGAAATTGATGGAAAAACAAGGTGCTTCCAGGATAAAGAGGAACTAGGGGAATTTGCAACCACTAATTCAACTCTACAGAGAATACTGCAGGATAGTCTAAAAAAAGAAAATACCAAGATTCCAGAAATAGTGGCTGAGAGGCCACAATGAATGGAGCAGAAAACAAAATGAAGAAGACAAACTGACAACAAAGGACAGAAAAAGAGCTCAACAGAAATGAAGTAGAGAAGACTGGAAGGTAGGAACAGCAATTTTGGAGAAAACGAAACATCATAATAGCTAGTGCTGATTTAGTATCATCTTGTTTTGAAGTCCCATCAAATGTGTATTCTTCAGTCTCCATTGGTGTTAAAAGGTTGTATCTTATTGGATTTTATTATATATGATAGTATAAGCAAAAACTTTTATAGACAAGGAGTTTATATAGAAACCATTGTTCATTTTCTGTCAATTGGTTCTAAATACCCTGCAATAATGTCATTCTCTTGAATGGTTTTATAGTGTCGTGATATCTTTGGTGCTACAGTATAAGAAGTTATACTCAAAGATTTCAAGGAAAGAGACACTATGGTAACTATTTTTATGTCAGGATATCTTGTGGTGAAACACTGGTTTGCTTAAATGGTTATGATTTGACCTGCGCTGTTCTGTTGTTAGGCCCTCTTTTATCTCAGTCCCCCCCCCCTTTTTTAAATTATTTACTTTTTTAGTTTTCTTTTTTTAATTAAGGGAAAATAAAAAATAGCAGGGTACATTATAGTAACCTACTTTGATTTCCTATTAACTTGATTTGAAATCCTGTATTGCCCTCACCATCTTGTTTTGACTGATTTTTCCCCTATTCTGCTTTGCTTGATAGTACCAATATCGAAAGTATAGGCATAACTGTTAACACAGTAAGAATCATTATGACGCCCATTCTGATTGACTATTATTTTCTTTTAAAATCCTGTAATGTCTCCAATGCTTTGGTTTTATTCTTTACTGTTTAGTTCAATTTTATTATAACTGCCAATTCTTCTTAAAATAGCAAGAGGCAGTATGGTAACTGATAGAACTGTGGAGTGGAAGGAAGAGGAGGAGGACTGGCGGCGGCTGAAAAGATAAGAAGTATAAAATATAAGTAACCTTTATTTTGGGAATGCGGGGAGAGACACCCCTGACCCCCTGGGGCATGGCATCTCCACCCCGGGGCCAGCGATCTCTCTGTGGAACACGTGGAGTGAGGCATATAAGTAACCTCAGCCTGGGGTGGAACCTAAGGGGCATTAGGGATGCACAGGTAGCCCATTGGTCTTAGTTTGGCGCCAGAAGTAATTTCTAAAGGTGGGGGGAGATAGGAGCTCCCTGGCTTTACTGGCTACAGTATCCGGCCTGGGCCGGCAACCCTTTCATATCCCATCTTATGATTATTAGGAAAAGGGGCAAAGATTTCTCTCTTTAACTACTTCCTGCTGGCCGAGGGCACTGTACTGGACTCTAGGGGAGTCGACGGGATGACAGTTGATGTCTAGGTAGAAGCTGGTGCCAGGAGTTTTAGCCATGACAACTTCACTGGTGAATGCACGTATGTTAGACTGAAAAACACAAAGAGACAAGATGTTATGAGGAGACATGGCACTGTCATATTTATGGACCCAAGAGAGGTAGAGGGAAAGGTATCTTTGATTTAGACATGTTATTCTATCAGGATGACGTTGAGGTGGGAACATTTTTATGGCAAGGCAGAATTCTGAAAAATTAAATGTGGGATTAGGAGGAGTGAAGTCATGAGACGTGCTTACTCCCCCATATGAAAGCATAAAAGTTAAAAGGTAGGTAGGTAAGGCTTGTCTCTGGTATATATGATGTTGGAGTCTGTAGGCAATCCTGTTAGAGAGTCCTGCTATAGAAATGATCATTAATAGAATGTAAGAAATTAAGAACCAAAGTGGATGACAAAACATGAAAACCTGTGAGTCGTAAGGCAGAGATGAGTATCAAAAGTATGGTTAGATCTAGGGCCTGAGTGATGTGAAATCAGGATGGCAGTTTAAAAGGGAATAAAAGCATTTTAAGATTTAGGACTGGGGCCTATATAAAATAGGCCCTGTTTGTAACTGGCATAGGTTGACCTTTAATATTCCGTGAGACACTTAGGATTTATTAGCCTGAAAACTCATTAAGAACTCTGTATATGTGGCCTCTTATGTCCACGAATATAGAGATCACCTAGTATTTTGTTTTTAGATTATTATGTCCATCCTTTTGATTTGACTGACTGATATGTCGCATTTGGTTTTACTCTCTTCAAAAAAAAAAAAAAATAAGAACTGTGGGAGTCATATAACCCAAACTGTGTAACTGCCATTCTACCAAAAAAAAAAAAAAAAAAAAAAAAAAAAAAAAAAAAAAAATGCTCTAAAGGTTATAACTGCATATATGTTTAAGTGTATAAGATAACCATATTACTGAGTGGGGTTTTTTTTGGATCATTGAACAAAACTGTTTGCACTCTCACTGTTTGAAAGTCCACTTTATGTGCTTCAATTTTCTAATTTGAACAACTATTTCTAAGATGAGAATATGTAATCTATTCACTAGTGATTTCTTACTGTTTATTTTTTAAATTTTATATTACTTGTACCCTTTTTCTGTTTTTTTTTCTTTTTTCTCCTTAAATAAAAAAAAATTATCTTCTAAAAAAAAATACAATCTTTTGATCCCTAAAAATTGTGTTTAATTTTTCTATTAAATTGTGAGGACGTTGAAATGTCTGACTATAATTCTGTATTCAGTTGTCCTTTTATCAGTTTTTTGTACATTTCGAAGCTCTGTGCACATGTGTTCTGAATTCTTACACACTTGTGGTCAATTGGTGTCTTTCTCCTGAAACAACCTGTTTTATCCTTGGGAATGCAGTCTTCACTCAGAAATTGACTTTCCCTGACGCTCCTGTTGTCACTGCAACTGCCTTGGGCATTGAACTGGCCAGAGCTTTGTGTATCCTCTTTTGAGCAAATTGTACTCATATTCAGACGGGATTTCTGGTCCACTGAGGTAGAGATAGCAACACGGAATGAGAAAATTCCCCTTAGGCACACAGTAGACAGGCACATTCCAGTAGAGCACAGGGCCCTGACTGAGCAGAAGTTGGAAGTGGGGTAGTCTACGTAGGTAGTTTCCAAGTAGCAGCCCATGGTATCCATAGCAGAGCTGGGAAATAATAATTTCCTGTGCAAATCCTGGCAAACACTACCATCAAGAAGATGCAGCATCACATCAGCAGTTGTTGTGTTTAGGGACATCATGACCCTCCTAGTGTGACACCTGGGGTGGGACCGTCAACTCTGCAGTGCTCTTGACAGAAACACATCACCATAGTCTCAGCATGAGGGAATGTCAGGCAGCCAGCCAAGGGACCTGTGCAGAGGAACAAGGACAGCGTTCCTGGTAGACAGCGGACAGCCACAGATGGGAGGAGACAGCGGTGTCCCCGCCACTGCACACAATGTGGAGTCCTAGATAGGTCCTGTAAAAGACAGATGGGAGAAGCCCAGGTGAACTGTCCACTGTACTTAGCAGTACTGCAGGAACGTCCACTTCCTAATGTCACTCATCGTCCTTCGGATCTCTTACGTTCCTCCTGTCTGAAGAAGCCAGGTGATCAGTGTATAGGAACTCAATGACCTTCTTAAAATCTGAAACTATTTCTACATAAAAGGAAAATAAAGCTAATAAGCAGCTTCTTTGTAGGTGCAATGGTTAATCTCACCTGACAGTCTGTGCTTTGTAATTGGTGATGAATGCAAATCACTGCCCTGTGTTCACTCAGCTGGGTTCCAGCCTGTCTTCCACCCTTTGTTTGCTCTTCCCTGATTTTCCTCCTCCCTTTGGATTAGTATTCGCGTCTCTCACCCTGCTGAGCCTCTATCCTGTTGCATGTATGTTGCTGCCTTCCAGCGTGTGCCATTGGTCAGCCAGGCCTCCCTTCAGCAGCGACCCACCAGGCCACATGTGTGCAGGGAAACAGTGCGACATTTCTGCCTTCCCAGGCTGTGTGCTGCTGTTTCCTACATTTTATTTCTGTGCTCACCGTGGACCTCACTGTACCTGGCCATTATTCTTCTTTCCATTGGGACAGAAGGTGCCTAACATGAACTCACCCTCATTGCCCTCAAGTGCACAGCCCCTGGCATTGGGCACCTCAGGGTGCTGGGTGACCATCTCTGCCTGCACCTCCACAGGGCCTGTGTCACAGGGCTGCTATCCTCTATGAAGTGTTGGTTTGACTTCATGAGTAATTGGGAGAATGATAAACTTGAGTTTTTATGACCACCACTTGTTCCATTCCTGGTGATCCTCACACTCATATCACTGCCTTCCTGGGAAGCTTTCCTGTCATCTCCCATGCTGAGCAGCTCTGCTAAGGAGGGACACCCTGGCCACCCATGTGTCTGAGGCCATCACAAGAGGCCTCTGTGCTGACAGCAGCAGCTGGCAGGCCTAGGAGATATATATCTGTGTGACACATGTGTGAGTCAGAATCATTGCCCTGAGAGAAGGGGACCAGACACAGACCACACACACTGTGAACCCATGTTCCTGAGACTCAAAAGGGAAAGCAATTTAACTATGAATAGACCCATGGGAGCCTGGGCTGACTGTTCAAAACCAGGGGCTGGCTCCAGGGTCACAACGCTATCCCTGTGTGAGTGCTCGGCCACTGGTGCCCAGCCTAGAGCTGGCCTGGGCTGAAAGAGGGAGCTGGGACAGATCAGCACTGCCTGGCTTCCTTCCATGGTGCCTGGGTCGGGTGTTTGCCTGTGTCCTTGTAGTGTCCGTGCTGTTAAATGACAGGCCTTCCTCACCATCCCTGAGAGCTTCCCCACTCCCCAGCCTGTGTGAGTTTATCTGGGGGTGCTGGTCAGACGCTGAGCTGCTGTCAGGGGTGGAAAAGTAATAGCAAGAAAATATAGGAGCCTTGGGTTTTGTGAGACTTTTCTGACCCTTCTTTCTCTGGCCCTGGAGCAACAATTCCCAGCGAGGCCCCATCTCACCCCCTTGCCTGGGGAGTTCTGGTTTGGGTTGTGGAGACCCAGGGGTGGGAAGTGGGCTCAGCATCCTGCAGGTGGAGGTCCACGATGCTGCTAACCATCCTGCCATCCCATGGAGGCCTGGCTGAGATCCCCCACGGGGACCAGAACCTCACTACAGCACAACTAGACAGAGCACTGCCCCACTCCAACCCTGTGGCCTGCTGTGGGAGGGTGAGGTCCAGTGGGCTGGGGTCTAAGTGAGATCACAGGAAATGGAGGAAGTGGATCACCTCAGAAAGACAGGAGCACCTGTGGCAGAAGTGGGAACCAAGCGTTTCCAGGACAGTCCACACTGTGCAGGTCATCAGGGTGTCAAAGTGAAACACACCAGCTCTTATACAAAATCTGATAAGTCCTTCCCTGTGACCATGGCCATGATGGCTCCCTGTAATCCTCTCCCTCCTGCCTCCCTGGGAGGAGCCACTGTTACTCAAAGCTGGCTATTGTGTCCCTGGATAAGAGGCAGCTGCTGAAGCCAGAGCCTAGTACCCTTCCATCTGCAGCTTGGAGTGAGAGTGGCTCCTCCCAGGCTCAGCAGACTGGGATCCTCCCTGGTCCAGTTTTTGTGGGGCTAAAGCTGGGTCCTTGGCGTGTTATATCCTGGATGTGGACCAGAAAGGTCACAGGCAGCAACTTTCATGGTGTCACTCCCCAGGGTCTGCATGATGAGGATCACAGGGTGCCAGGGCATCACACTGCCCGCATGGTGCTCACCACACAGGTGGTGCAGAGTAAGAGTCCTGCAGCCTCCAAGCTGGCTGTCCAGCAGCCTCCTAGGATCCCTCCTCGGTGTACTCCAGGCTCTCCAGGCACAGGAGTGCCCGGGACAGCATACAGACCTCCGCAGCGGGAATCAAGTGGAGAGCCTGTGGCTGGCCACCAGGAGCGCCTGACACCTGGGTGGAGCACAGGAGCTTCCTAGTAGCTCCTAAGGAAGGGGAGCAGGTCCTGCCACACTGTGCAAACTCAAACAGAGCCAGGCCACACCAGCAGAGGCCCAAGCAGTCCCACAACATGTAGGTGGCTGAACAAGATGACCAGGATAGCCAGGGGTTCTCAACCCAGGCTTGAGGGTCACCCAGCTGCTTGTGGAGATGCCAGGGATGGTGAGGACAGGCCAGAGGTGCTGCACAGTCTCATGCAAAGATGGGGTTGTTTAGCCAAAATGCCCACAGTGTCCAGTTGAGAAGCCCTGCCTTATACCTCATGCTGGCAATGAATTTTGGGGTTTGCTATGGGGGAAAAATGACAAAAACAAAGAAAACTTTCCACTAAAAAACAAGGATAAAACCTTTCTGAGAAATGAGTAAACTGTGGGAGGCAGGGTCATGGGTGGAGAATGGGATGGCACCCTGAGCAGACTCTGGGGGTCCCACATTGGCCAAGGTCAGGGCAGAGTGGCAGAAAGCCCCAGGAAAGGAAGTGGGCTGGTAGCAGCCTTTGAAGGTCTCACTGGCCAAGGCCTGTATCAGGTTTCTGGGGCCCACATGCCATCAGGG